CTCTACAGTGTCAGGGGTTGTATCTATGTAGTAGTGCCCGCCTTCCCCGTGGGGGCTGAAGCAGTGGGTGTGCTCCACACGCAGGTCCAAACCCTGAATGAACATCACACAAATATAAACAAACAGTAACTATGCCACTCTTTTTGCGAATCCATTTCTGACAGGTTAGAAATTTCACCCACCGGATCTTTGGAAACGAGCACTGATTGGCAGATCAGTGGGCTGGTGACCTCAAAGTGTTTGAGCCAACTGTTGATTTCATCATTGGTGTTGAGGGGGCAGACTGCAAACTCTCTCGGCTACCCGTAAGCCAACACAAAAAAAAAAAGAGCAACAATCTGGATCAGGAAATTATAAACATTGTCAACAGCAGCAAGTTCATATGCAAAGTAGAGCAACATATTCATTGATATATAATAATAGGGAATTTCTTGTTAATTGTTCAAGAAATAATATATTCCTATTAACTTTGTGCAAAATGGAATACTAAATTTAAAACTAGTGTAGCACGCACATTTATTTTAAAAGTACTGCTACATTTAGCTTTTAGCAATTATTTAATACTGTAGCACGCACATTTATTTTAAAAGTAGCTTTTAGCGATTATTTAATAAATTAAGGTACTTTTAAAACAGCAGTATTCCCTTTGCGTAGTATCAGTTATAATATATTTTTGTACGTCTCTGTACAGGACAATAACATTCAATATGAATTGTTACAGAAAAAACATAGTTACCCTCCAAGTCCAAAGATACAACTGTAACATTAAAACTGACAATGTCAGAGCAACAGAGTGAAGACGTGGGTTGCACATAAGTGGTACTTAAGTGGTACCAGGTTTGAAGTATTCCATTTTAAACACAATTCAACGTTGCAGTGTTTACAATTAGCTTTAGTTCAATCAATTCTGCCATCTGGCAGAGATTTAAATACAATGTCCATCTTAGAGTTCTTTACTTTGCTCATTTTTTTCCAATGGTCAAGGTGGGTGATTAAGCAAATACTGATCAACAGCTAACCCTCCTGTTACCACTCCTGTTGGTCTCTTAGAGTTTTCAGAGTCAGTAATGAATCCAAATGTACCTTCTTGGGTTAACACTTGATCAGCCCTGTTATGTTTTGTGTGGTTTTCCACATTACTTTTTAAGAAGAATTTTTTTTTTGTTTTTACCATGATGTGTATTTTAGCTTTCCCTTTCTGGATAATGAATGTTCCACCCAGAGCCAGACTTTTATCAGGGTAGTGGCCCTCAAGGGACTTCCTCAGGGCTGTCACAAGACTGTGTTCTCCTGTTCTCCTCTTGGCTCGCACCTCTAAGACCTGTGGAGGCACATCAGTGAAAAACACCTGTATGGTCACTGTTTGCTGGTTAATAGTTATTCTCTTAAATAAGCAACCTGGTGAATAATTTTAAAAAAAGCCTGCTTTGAAGTTGATCTTAAATAAGCAACCTGGTGAATAATTAAAAAAAACACCCGCTTTTAAGTTGGTGTATAACCAATATATGTATTGTTTTCCAAAGGGAAAACAATGACACCACATTTTAACGAAGAACTTTCACCCCCCCCCTCAACCCATTCGCACCTTCATTCACTACCTGAAGTTGACAAACGAGATCAGACTGGATACCTTTCCAGGTTTCCCCTCACATGCATATAGATTAGCCAGCAGTCCAAAGTTACAGTCGGAGAACTTGTCACTGTATTTTTCCTGCAGACACTGGCCATCGGCTGGATTGATGGAGGCCACGTAGCTGCTGTTTACCTCAGCCCTTTTCTCTGTCTCTGTGAGAACCAAAGGTATAAGCTGTGGAACGGAGACAAAGTGAAAAATTAACTACATTAAGACACTAGATCCCATTTAACCCATAACAGTGTACAACCTCTGCATTCATTCCAACAGCCCTGGAAGAGACGGCCCCAGCGCCGAGGATGAAAGCTCCAGGCAGCTCCAGTTCCTTAGATACGGTGTTCATGTTGTATTCCTAGGATGAGCAGCAGACCAAAACAATACTTTAGTTAATATGTCACCATACATATTTGTGTACAATATGTGGTGTCGGGGGGAAAAAAAAGTTACCTTGTGCTTCTGAACCACAGGGACCAGGTACGGTACACCACCAACATCAGTGATCCGAGGACTACCACATAAACCTAACCAAAAGTAACATTGAAGAGATAGTTCAGGTCTTGATGACATGATGACTCGCACTTCGCACCAAGGACCATCTTTAATCTAAAAATCTAACTCCGCAGAACTACTTTTACCTCTAATGGTACAGTTCTTTTTATTTTTTATTTTTTGTTTGTTTTAAGCTACCTTTTCAGCTGACACCGATGCCAAAATCAGCACTGTTGGACTGAAATTGTTTGACATTCAAGCAAACATGCAATTTAAATGAATGTTGTACTTTCCACAATCCCACTAAAGGAGCTGGACTTTTAAGTATCTTGTTTGGTTCAAATGACTTTTTCCTGATGTTCTACAAACTACAAATCATTTACAGTAACCTTAAGAAAATTAGGATGTGGAATTCTTAGTTAAATGTATCTAAGGCGGACAAATTGAAGCAGTATATTTTTTTAAGAGATGCCGTTCCTCTGCCGCTGCACTTTGTTTCACGTCAGAATTTAGGGATTTAAATAGTAAAATGCTCTTACCCGGGACAGGGAAGCAGAATGGTTTTTGTGTGAGATCGGGACACTCCACAACATTGACCTGTGCTTCAGCAAAGTTACTTTCCAGTCCCGCTTGCAAAACTGTAACCAACAACCCAACCACGACCGATAAGTTCCACAGTTATGCTTTTAGTTGTTTAATTGCACATTTTGATGCCTTCTTACCAGTACAGAGTTCCTGCAGGCTCGGAATGTGTAGCTGAGCCTTCTCAACTGGACTGACGTCTGCCATGTCTGGTCCTCAGGGTGAATGTCCTGTAGATGCAGTAGGCATGCCGTAAATCGTTGCAAATCGTCGCATACACCGCCTCTGTCATTGCAATAGCACAGCGAAGTCCGTAGTCATATACTGTATATATATATTGTTCTAATATATTGTAGCGGGCACCCAAGAACTGTCAGAAAAGGTTAAACAGTAAAACACACATAACCAATTATCCCTCAACCGTCACATTATATAAAACGGTAACTTATGTAACAAACAGAATCGAAGTATTCGCTAAATATTACATACATTACATTACATTTAGCAGTCGCTTTGGGTAAAACACGATCACATGGTGGGGTACGTCATGTACGTCATTTACGTCATTTACGTCACCGGATTATATTTCCGGGTTGTCCACCGAGAACGTGGAGTTTTGTTCTGTCCGTTTTGGAAAAAATTAGCGCCTTTTTATGCGATATTATCCACAACAGACACATAATCTAACAGAATACGTCGTGTTTCAAGATACCTGAATAAGGGGCTTCAGCGGAAGTCAAATTCATATTACGTAGTGTAATATGAATTGTAACAGCGACATGGCAAAAAACTTCAGCGGAAGTCAAATTCATATTACGTGGTGTAGCTAAACAGCGACATGGCAAAAAGGAGCACCCCTAAAATGTTAACAGTGGAGTCATCTGACCTAGTCCTACAACACTCTTCTACAGGTGACAGATATTTTGGAGAACCAATTGAAACAGACAGGTATTTTTATTTTGTTTTTTTATATTTTACAGCTTAAAGTTTGGTTTTAGGTGTTAATGGCCCATGTAGTTCGCATATTCCAATGCTGTGTAGTACACGCAATAATTGTGATCTTTCAGCTTTAACCATGCCCTAGTATTGTATAGTAGTGTTTATTAAATAAATAAGCATATCATTTACTTTTGTGCCTTGACTTAATTCACTAATTAGGATAGAGCTATAGATTTAGAGAATATACCAGAAGTCAAGTCTACTTTGGGATGTATTTCAAACCCTATATCTAGTGAACACATCGAAACTCACTAACTTTTGCTAAAATGTTTTTTTGTCAATGTGTTTCCCCAGTGACTCGGGAGACAGCCTTTTTATAACTCAGCATCCAGTACCTGAGGCAAAAAGGCCAAGGAATACGCATCGACGCAGTCGCATATCTTCTGTGGTCTCAGCAGAAGTCGACTCTTCACCATCAGACTCAGATGCGAACTGCGGCGTGACTGAACCACGTAACATAAGGAAACATTCACTGCCAAAATATGTTTTTCCCTTCCTTTTAGAAAGAAGAAAGAGAACTGAGTTGATTTACAGGCACAACAAATCGCTTCACGTAAGAACCGCCGGAACACGCTTTTTTATTCAAGTGTTTTCCGAGTGTTTATTTGATCTCTTCTGTGTATAACTCTTTTTGTACAGGCTTTCACAATTGGTGGCTTCTTTAAATGTGTCAAAGAGTTGTGGGAGAGCGGGCAGAAAGGCCCACCATCTATTTACCCAACATTGGATATGGATGGGGAGGACATATCACCGTTATCAGAGTAAGTTTAAGTTGTTGCGAGAACTATGGTTAGTACACTGTCTACGTTTTTTTTTTTTTATTGGGATGTGCTGTTAGTTTAACCCTTGTGTGGTGTTCGGGACCCGTTTTCACTTTTTAATAAAAGAAAAAAATGATATAATTATTTAATTTTTCAAACTGAGACTCACTGGCTTTGGCTCATTTTCTGTGAAGAACGTATATCAGAATACATATTTAATGACCACACACCATACACCCCCCCCCCCCCGCACAACACCTCCATTATCTCCACAACAC